GGCATGCAAGATAGCTTATATGTTACAAGCAGCTGCATTTAGTTAGAGATTTTTGAAGAATTTTCTACTCTGAGGTGCTTTTTAGTGTCTCAGAAGGCTGTTGCATTTCTGTGCATGTCTCTGAAGAACAGTATCTAGTGTCACACCTCAGGGAAGGTTTTTTGTCCAGCTTTAGATATTTGTATTTAAGAGCTATAAGGAATCTTTAAGTAGACCCCTGCCTAGATCTCATTTGCAAAGGCTTAAGTTAAATAAAATGTCCTATGTGTATATAATTAGCACGCCATTCTCTGTGGACATAATTACAGTAATACACAAACTATTATTCTAATCATTCATTTGTAGTTAGCACAACTTTTGAATAGACGTGCCAGATACCAAAATCAGTCAGTCAAATAGCTCCAAAACGTATTTCCATCTTTCCATTCACTGTTAGTCAATGATAGAAACATTTTATTTGTTTGTAAACATATAATGCATACTGACTGAAATAGAAAACTATTGCCCTATGGATGAAAACCTGCGGTATAGCACTCCTAATCAAAGGTGGAGGAATGCTAATCCACTAGAGGTAATTTTCAAAAAGGGCAACAGTTTTTCCTATTATCTAAAATATGCAGTCTATGGATCTATGTTTTTATGCATAAAAATTGTATTACCCTATTCATGGTGCTTCTGCCACGACTCTACTTTAGCTCACAGAGCTACATGATATTCAACAATAATAAAGCTGGAGCTGTAATAACAATAGCCATCACAGATACTGTGACGAGCGAGGGGAAAAAGCCAAGTTATAGAATTCCTGTTCCTCATATTCACACTAACCTTGTGGTTTTACTCATTGTTGGGCCAACCTCTCCGTGCACTTGGGAAGAGCATTTAAAAATAAATTATTTACGTTTATGTGCATGCTGCTTTTAATTTGCTTTTTCTGTGTTTTGTTTCCTGAACTGTGGCTGCCAACCCTTCAAAAACAAAAACCAGAAGAGCAAAGAAACTTTGTTCAAATTCTGCAGGGAGCTTGAGTTACATTTAAATGTCACAAAGATGATTTTGTACTAAATATGATGCAGCAGGCTTATGATGTGCCAAAATGCTTCTATTTTAGCTCACAAGATCATGTGACCCTCTCTCAGTCAATAACCAGACAGTCGATTTTTAAAACAATTAGACAGCATGGCTAGAAAGACAACTATGCAAGCTGGTTTACATCACATGATCATGTCTCAACTAGATTATTTGGTAACCGAAAGTGGACACGAGTGGACTTTTAGGCCCCTGTCCTACATATGCTTGAAGACTCACTTATTTTTACTCATATGAGTTGTCCTAGTGAACTGACTACTGACATGAATTAATTTACACTCATCCTGAAGAACTTGCAGGATCAAGATGTCAGATTATAAACTCTTTGGAGCAAAAACCATGTCTATAAATATTTGAACAGGATTTATTATGGTAGCTTCTGTACACGTTGGGGGCTCTGGTTTTATTGTAATGTGAATATTAAATAATAATCACATAGATGAATGGGCAGGCAGACCTTGGATTCCCAATCAATCAATATTAAAGCTTTCCTGATAGTGAAAGTTTTACAGTTGTTAAAGTTACCAGTATATAAGGATGTTAATTAAAGGTCTTATTTTCACAGGTCTGAAAAAATATCCTCCCTTACATCTGAAATGTCCATGTTTGGTCTCAGCCAAATCACATGGACATTTTTTGGTGGTAGTAGTCAGGGGTGGGGAGTGGAGAAATCCATTGACCCATTTTTGAATTATGGAAAAATTAAATTATACACTTCTACACTTAGTTTTATACACTTAGTTTAAGTAAATGGTAATATATCTTTTTGCTTACACAACTCAAAATCTGCTAAATTTTTATCATTCAAGATTTTCAGGTTAGCTAATCTTCACTGCGGTCTAGATCCTTACATGTTCAGAACAAAAATTAATTATATGTATTAAAAAATTTCTCATTGCGTGATGATAATGTTTTCTAATCTGAGGCAATACAATACTTAATCTGGCACCAAGTTAACACTAATTAATATCTAGGAGAAAAGTTTACAATATAGCAAACATTTCTACAGACAATATTTCAATGCAGACATTGATTCTGTATTTAAATCCTTATGCTCCTACACAGCTTGTAAGTAGTATAAATAGAGCCTCTCTCCTACAGAATTTATAGTAAATCCAAGAGAGCAAATTGTGGGCTTAAACTCTGCTGATCGATCATCATAAGGTTTGGATTTGGGTTTTTTTTAACTTTTACTTTATTAAAAAAAAACTCATGTTAAGGTAACATTAAGGTTATTAATTTAAACATTAAAAGGTCAGGAAATGAAAAAGTAACATTAATTTAGCCTTTTTAAAGTTTATGTTGTTAAATATACATAAAATATTCCACAGAAGACATTCAAATTCAACATTACCAGCCGTCACCACGCAGATGTCAGAGAACTCCTTTTCTAAGGCTAGACCAATTAAATGTGTAGGCCAGCAATTAAACGTATACGATTAGACCCTTATACCCACACAGTCACCTTGACATCAATAGGATCCATCTACACGGATCCAACAGCAGAATCAGGGCCATAGTGAAAGATAGGGATAATCTCAGACTACTGTGTGGTAACTGTTGATAACAGTTGACTTTTTAATGGCAACCATTCCATAACATGTGCAATATGGCTGTTGGTGTTATTAAAACCTTGTTTCCAGAATTGTGGTAGACATGTTGGCCCTAAAACCTGAAGAAGAGCTCTCTGTAGCTCAAAAGTTAGTATCTTTCACCAACAGAAGTTGGTCCAATAAAAGATACCTCATCCACCTTGTCTCTTTATTAAAACCTTAACTTTTTCATTGCTTGACCTCTGAGTATTTAACATGGCATTACTGTACATTTTTCTTTTTTGAATATACACTATGGCCAAGATTTTCAAAACTGACTTGACCAACTAGACACACCTTCCAGGGGCCTGGTTTTAGGTTATGCATACTCAGCATTTTTTGAAGCCTTTCAAAAATCACCCGAAATCACTAGTCATTTTAAATATCTTAGCCTAAATATGCAAACTTTACCAAATGCCAATCCAGGCTATCAGCTTCCATTTCTTTTATGTATATGTTATATGATGACTCAAATCTAAAATTCTTGAAATGGCTACAATTAAAAATAAAACAAAACAATATTAAAATGAAAGGATCACAAATATTGTTGGTTAAAACTAAACAAGAGATTTGCTTTAAGGTCATTGTTAACAATTTGCCCTTGAACTATATATATGCAGTAAGATGGCACATTGCTGGAACTAAAAAGACAAATCATCATTGACAATATTACCTTACAGACCTTAAGTCAAATATCAAAAGCAGAATGAAATGCCCTAGGAATAGTTACATTTAGCTAACAACTCAGTCAAACTCTTGGAAAGTGTTTTTATAAAGCAATTAAGTACAGATCAAGTATAAAACTTGACTTCATTAACTGGAATATAGGAATGCCTGGAATCAGAGGAAAATAAGCAAATATGTTTCTTAAGAAAGACCCTGGTTACACTTTTTTCAAGAAGAAGAATACTGATGTGAAATTTAAAGTCCTAACAGAACTTTGTCTAACTACTGGATTAAAATGTTTGCAATTCGGGAAAGTTAAATTGTAGATTTAAAATTCCAACAAATTGATGTTAAAGCTTTTACTTCTGTCTGCTTCCTGGTTATACTCTCCCCTTCATTCCAAAACCCAGTTAATAAATTATGAACTGATACACATTTAATCATAGCCAGATTCTAGTACCCTTAGTTATGATGAATACCTCCTTACTATGTAAATAGCCTCACTGACATCAATGGGACTATTCATGCAGTAAGGGAGTAAAGATATCAGAATCTGTCCCAAAGATATATACAATTTCTGTTATAAGCAGCTTCCAGGTTAGTCTTGGTTAATAAAAAAAAAATTACATTCTAATGTCTATGGATTGTTGAAAAGGCCTCTTGTTCAGTGTTGTCCCTTGAAAAGATATTCTCCTTCTCCTTGGTACCCTTATGCTGTGTCGGTGCTTTTCTAAATACAGCTTAAAAACAAAATCAAAAAGGGTTTTTTTTCTGGCGTCTTAACCAGACACAGGTATCCTGCCAAGGAGACTCAAACTGGGTTGCCTCTTGCAGATTATATATTAAAGAGAAGCCCAACACCCTAACGGCTTGAATCAACTTTTCACCCCTCCTCAAAGAAAGGATCAGTTGTATCCACAGGAGCAGCCCATCTTCCCTTTCATTGTGTCCCAGCACAGATAGGAGAGGGAAGCACCGACGGCTTCCCGCAGGGGAAGGTAATACGCTTTGCCTTTCTTATTAGCTTTACTCGAAATGTTGCCATTGTCTTTAAAGAGGGTCCAAATGAAGTATGCATCAGATTGCGGCTTAGAAACCACATTCAGCCCCACTGCCCAGATGCACCCCGTTTTTACCGTACTTTGCAAATGCAAATAGTGCACAACTCACACACACACACACACACACACACACACGGCTGCTGCTCCTCCTCCTCCAACCTCTCCGGGCTGGGCAGCTGGGGAGGCTGGAAGCGACAAGGGAACAATTGGTGAATCGGGGCTTTGTCTGGGGTCGCCTCCGCTCGTGGGTCACCCAGTTTCATTCACAAAAAGGCAAAGCCCGGCGGAAAGACTCCCGCACTCCCCGGCCCCGGCGCGGGGCCAAGCCAAGCGGGCTGCGGCTCTCCGGCGGGGAGGGGAGAGCGAAGCCAAACACCTTCGTTCAGCCCAGATGACAGCGGAGCGCGCCCCGGCCGGCGCCCGCACCCCCTGCCCCGCGCAAAGCGGGAGGGCGCCCCAGGGGGCCGGGCTGGGGCACCGGGCGGAGGGGATGGAGGAGCGGGGAGCGCTGGGGAAGGCTCAGGGGAGGCGCGGCGGCGGGTAACTGTCCCAAGGGCCCGCCCGAGGCGGCGCCGGGCAGCGCGGCGCGTCTTACCTCGGGCTGCGCCCCCGAGCTCCGCCAGGCTCCCCGCGCGCAGCAGCAGCAGCAGCAGCAGCAGCGGCGGGAGGCTCCGCTCCCAGCCGCCCGGCCGGGGCATTCCTGAGCCGGCTCGCGCTACTCCGACATCCGCAGGACAGCGCCCGGAGCCCGGGCCAGCTCTCCCCGCCGCGCTGTGCCGGAGGAGGGGGGGGGGCTCTGCCCTCCCAGCCCTTCCCCACGCCGGCTGGGCACTGAGCGGGGGCGGGGGTGGCGGCTTCCCTCCCTCAGCCCCTCGCTTGTCACTTTCAGAACCTCCCCTCAGAGCCCGGCCCCGGCACCCCCCGCCGGCGGGCGGCCCAGCCTGGCCCAGCAGCGCCCCCTGCCAGCCCTGCCGAGTCACTCCCAACCGCTGCCCAACCTCGGCCCGGCTGAGCCTCCGCCTGCGCCTCAGCCAGCCTCTCCCCGCAGCCCCAGGGTCAGCCCCGGCGGGCAGGAGCGGGCTGGGGGGAGCCGGGGAAAGGGAAGGCGCAGGGGAGGGGGGGGACACGGGAGCTGGAAGTAGGGGAGCTGCCGCACCCCCAGGCTTGAAGTGGTTTCCATCACATATGGGGTTGACAGTTTGGGTCAATGGCTCCCAGCAGCCCCGCTATAAACACTGTTCCAGCGCCCCTGGGCAGAGGGAGAACTTGGGGTGCCTGGGAGCCTCCTCCCCTTGGATCGCTCCCCCCGCCATGAGAGAGGGAATTAACCTATTGGGTCATCTGGTCCAGTGAGTCTCTGTGCCCCCCAGGACTTCAGACCATCCCGGGTTTCTTGCCAGGGCCAGGAGCCACCCAAATTGGGATCCTGGCGAGGAGCCAGGGGCTGATTGCCAGCAGGGGGGTGGGGGTGGCTGTGTGAAGGGATGGCGTGGGTTTACTCTCCCTTATAGCGCTCAGCTCTGGGGCAACTCCGCCCCTCTGGGAGCACTCACCGTTGGCCCCCGCTGAAGGCTGTGCTGAGGAGGGGGAAGAAGAGTAGTGCAGTGGGGTGGATCGGGCAGGGAAGGGTGGTTACAGCAGCAGGAAGGACCTGGCCCCACCCCAGTCCTACCACATGCTGCTTTCCCCAAGCAACTGGTGTAATCCTTGGGAATTCCTTCCAGGCACCCCTGGGGAGTCACACTCCATAGGATAAGGAGCCCCAATCCCGTACAGAATTGTTTCCTTTGGCCACTTTCTTGTTCCTTGTCCCCTCTAATGTCTCGGGAGTTTCCAGTACTTCCTTTTTGGAGAGATTGCTCTAATCATAGATGGCCATAGGTTAAGCCGTTGCCCACCTAAGGCACTGCTAAAATGTCACTGGGACTCCCAGGATCACTCACTCAAAACTAGTCCCAAATAGTTTTTCTGTGGATGGTTTGCCATCTGGTTCCTGTTTTCTCTATTAGTCATGTACATCAGTAAACTTTAATGCCCAAATATGCCTTAGAATCCTTTGCACCAGCTGCTGCAATATCCACTTCAAAGCCAAGAGCATCTCATGTGCGGGGGGAGGGGGGAGGGGCACATGGGGTCACATCCCCCTCCTAGATTTCTGCCAGGGTTTATATGCCCTGCCCTGAATTCTGCTGCATACCTCCAGAATCTTTAAATTATGCCCTCCCTCTCATTATCAGCAGTTACATGTCACCTCTATTCAAAGCTAAGGATCCTAAGGCAAAGGATTCTGGTATATGTTTGGGATCTAAATGCAAGCCCTGCACACAACTGAGCCAAAGCAAGGAGAACTTTCAAGGAGAAGAAATAGCAACAATAGGAGATGTGGTAGCTTGGTGACTGGGAAGGCAGTGGGAAATGATGGAGAGAGGTTCAGTCCCATCATTGCTCAGGGTATCAGTACCAGCATGGCCTTAAGTCTAATAGATCCCACCTTCTCCCCATATGCAGCCAAAATGTCCCTTGATTAAATTTAATCTCACTACTCCTAGCTCGACTCCACTATATTACCCTGCACAACTCTGACTCTTCCTGTCTGTTTTACACATTCAGATACTTGTGTCTGTTGCATCCTCCTTAGTTATTAATAAAGCTGTGTATTTAGTTCTTTTAATCTTCTCTCCAGATCCATCTCCTTCTTTTTGGTTGCTTTCTCAAAATTCACTCCCATTTGTCAACATCTTTCTGGCACTTGAGGTGCCCAGAATTAAATACACATTTGTAGGTCTCAGTAGCCAAATAGAAAGGGACTGCTGCCTCTGTATTCAGTAGTACTCTGCACTTGCAACCCAAAGTTGCATTAGCTTTTTTGTTGCTGTCATGATAACTCGTAGCAAATTCAATGCAAGCTTGCAATCCATTCATCTTTCTAAGCACTCCCTCCCATTAAATATCCATGTTCCAGATTATTTTCCCAAGATGTATTAATTTATATTTTTCCAGGCTGAATTTTATTTTGTTATTGCTGACAATATTCCTAATCTTTCCAGGCACCTTTTTTTATTATTTCTCTGACCTTGACGGGTTTAGGAATACCTATCTGTATTTTATATTTATATAAAATTTATCTGTATAACACCTATCTGGAACACCTGTATTATCATCTGCAAATTTCACTGAGGTAGCTGTTTACTCCCTCTTCCAGCTTATTAATTAAATTGTTAAATTAAACTGGCTCTGTTCGTGATCCAGTGGATGCTGTTTTATCTGAAAGTGAGGAGGCAAAATTGACACAAAGATCTTCTCTGAGCTAATTCACAACTGCAGGAAAAGGTTATTTTGTCTCTGACCCTAAACAACATGGGTTCAACTCTGCCTGCCCTGAGGAAGAATTTCTACTTTATTGAACCTTGCAGCATCCATCTGGATATTTCACCTTTATCTCCTAATTGACCCAGAACACTGCAAACTGACAGACAAAAATCACTTCTACAGATCTCTTGGTGTTTTTAGAAGAACGAGTCTCAAAACCCTTACATCAAAACAATACTGACAACGCATTATCTAGAAACTGTTAAGCAGTTTCACAGTATTATGGTATAGCAGGCTTTAGTGTGCTAGGACAAGCTGGCTACTGCCTATATGGAAAACCACACCTACAATGCTCTAAATAGAATAAGCAGTATTCAGTTGTGGATCATGGATCCTATATAGCTAATAGATAGTGTAGCAATAATCCATGAGATGATGTGTGTTCGGAGGCTATTAGTGTATAGTTTGGGCATGTATGAGAAAACAACACAGAAAGCTGACTGCTTTTCCATACCTGAAAAGTACACCATTTGCTACAATGTACATCTTGGAGTGGCCGAGAGCTAATGCAGCATGGCTGGTTAATGTTACATCTTTTTAAAAAATTCTTTTAAAAATAGTCTGCTGGGGTTGTACAGGTGTATTCTCCCACACTTAAAAATAGTTTATAGTAAAAAGAATAAGCAGGATTAGTAGTTAGGAGAAAGCTATAAATACTTTTTCTCTGCTAATTTGAATATATTTGTGTGTTAATTTTTCTAACTCTCTTTTTTTGTTTTTTTTAGATTTCCTAGACTAATTGGGCCCCTTCTCTCTGTCCCCACACTCATGTCATCATAAAACCATAGAATATCAGGGTTGGAAGGGACCTCAGGAGGTCATCTAGTCCAACCCCCAGCGCAAAGCAGGACCAATCCCCAACTAAATCATCCCAGCCAGGGCTTTGTCAAGCCTGACCTCAAAGGAAGGAGATTCCACCACCTCCCTAGGTAACGCATTCCAGTGTTTCACCACCCTCCTAGTGAAAAAGTTTTTCCTAATATCCAACCTAAAGGTCCCTGGAGGGCCCACTGCCTTTTCAGCAGCAGATTGCAGCCCAGCAGCCATTTTCAACTCATTTTATTTAAAAAAAAAAAAGTAATGTATTCAATATCTCCCAATTTAGCTTTTAGACTAAAAAGTGAGTTAAATGTTCGTGAAAGGAAAACAAAGTGCTGCCTTATACTTCGGTAAGGTGACCATATTTCCCAAAGTGAAAATGGGACACTATGAGGGGCTGGCCCAAGGCCCTCCACTCCCTTCCGCATGGGGCTCACCCAAGTCACCTGGTGTCACTGCTTGCCCGAGCACCCCACGCACATGGGGTTGGCTCGAGCCACCTGTTGTTGCTGCTTGCCTGAGCCCCACCGCCTGGGGCTGGCGCTGACGACCTGAGTCCTGCTGCCTGGCATCGCTGCTTGCCCCACCGAATGTTCCTCATCATCCCCCTAGGAGGGAGCGCCCCACTTTTTTGGCAAAACAGGGCATTTGTCCCATTTGCTTTTGACAACTGATGATCAGCTAGCAAGAGCAAACAGAACAAATGCCCAGTTTTGCCAAACAAATCAGGACATCCGGAACAGGGCTCAAAAAGGGGACTGTTCCGGCAAGATGAGACATATGGTCACCCTACACTTTGGGAATGGGGAGTGACATTTTAACACACTTTTTACTCTCCCCTTCCTGCCCACCACCCATCGAACCCTGCCTCACACACACACTTAATATAATGGGCAGAGGTGTTCTTTGGGTATTTGTGATGAGACTCCAGCTGTGCACCATTGGAAGTTTGTGCACATGATAAAAAGGGTCTAGTCAACCAATCACAATGTGACTTTGTGCCTGTACTCTAATGGTGATTCTCCTTTATCTCAGGCTGGGGGCCTGTGCTCCTAGACCAGGAAGGTTAGAGTTTTATCACAGGTTTCAGAGTAGCAGCCGTGTTAGTCTGTATCCGCAAAAATAAAAGGAGTACTTGTTAGTCTCTAAGGTGCCACAAGTACTTCTAAGATGCCACAAGTACTCCTTTAGTTTTATCACAGTTGCCAATATAAAATTCCAAGGGTCCATGATTTGCATCATTGTTTATAACCATGAAGTTGGCAAGGCTGGTCAGGAGCTGAGTTATGGGGGCTGAATGCAAATGCAGAGGGCTGGGTATTGTTTTGTTAGAGCTCTGTGTGGACAGATGCAGTCAGAAACACCACAAGTCACACACAGGGGATGCAGGAAGGAAGCATCAGAGACAGGCAGAGAAGGACCTGTAGCATGATTCTGAGAAAAAAAATCTAAGTCAGAGAGCTGTTTGGGTGGAGTGCTGTCTGGAACAAGAGGCTTGGAATATTGAGCAAAAATATTGGCTCCTGTTGCTTGCTTCCTACTGTGTTACTGTAAACAGAACTTTGTGTACATACTTTGTAAATAAACAGGATTGCATCAAAGAAATAC